CAGTTCTCTTGCATTGCCAATGGCCCTGTGTTGTTTCTTAATAGCTTTAGCTTGGCCAGGTCATTTGCACAGGCTAGCTCAGGAATTCCTCTGCAGCTTGTATTTCTCCCTTCATATCCCAAATAATCAAAATCCTGCCATTTATTAATTTCTAGGGTTAGGGGGTCCCCTCCCCAAACTTATAACAATATATACACTTTGGTTGTTATCTAGTTGTTTTGTCGTGTCCGACTCTTCATGACCCCCTGGACCAGAGCACGCTAGGCACTCCTGTCTTCCACTGCCTCCCGCAGTTTGGTCAAACTCATGCTGGTAGCTTCGAGAACACTGTCCAACCATCTCGTCCTCTGTCGTCCCCTTCTCCTTGCGCCCTCCATCTTTCCCAACATCAGGGCTTTTCCAGGGAGTCTTCTCTTCTCATGAGGTGGCCAAAGTATTGGAGCCTCAGCTTCAGGATCTGTCCTTCCAGTGAGCACTCAGGGCTGATTTCCTTCAGAATGGAGAGGTTTGATCTTGCAGTCCAGCCAGAATACTGGCAGAGCAGGTGACTGAGATCAGTGTTCAAATCACTGATAACTTTATAGCACGTCCCAGATATGTTTGTATGTTTTCTTATTTCTGAAATTGTATCGCTACCCCTTCAATGTTGCTGGCACTCCCAGGGTGTCCTACAGAAGTAACAACAACAATAATGGCACAATAATATTATAATATAAGTAGAAAATAGTACAGCGTGAAACTCTAGTCAAAGAGGGGTCTATATGGTACCTTGGAAGAGCTTGGGTACAATACTTCAAAAAAGGTAGGTGGGTGGGAACAGTGGGGTGGAGAGGCAGTGAGTCCTGCTTAAAGGTTGTTCAACAAGACTCCCCACTTCGCCTTGGGCTGCTTGCCAGAAGTGGGGGAAGTTGAGCCAGGAAGAGAGATCCTGCCCAGGTGTGATTTAAATAAATAAATATGCTCTTAGCTTGCCTTCCTTCCTTCCCAGTTCCTGTGTGATGTTGCAACACCAAGCTCTGTTCCTCTGCCATGTTTTCTTCCCTCCCTCAGGTTTCCTCCATGTCTGGAAGTGTGATGTTGCTTACAGGGACTGATGTCATCATGTGAAATAACTCTGTCACTCGGTGACTCTTGCCTAGCCCAAGCTTATGAATGCAAGCTGGCTATTTTTAGACCTCTTTCCCACCCAACCCTGAAGGTTTGAGCATTAAATTACAATATAACCCTATAATGATGATGTTGATGATAGGGTCTGTGTCACTTTATGTTTCCCCACAAAGTCCTTGAGGTGAGGTTTAGGCTGAGAATGTGTTTTGCCAGAGGCAATCTGTGAACTCAACTCTTCCAAATCCAGGAAAATCCATTGTTACCCCTCTAGGTAGCATCATTTAAATGCTAATCTGTTGCCTTTATGTGCATTTATATCGCATTGCCTCTGAGTGTTCCAAGCTTAATCTGGGTCAGTTTTGCAACTCTTTGTTATGTAGGCCTGTGTTATGTACCCTCAGTGCAGGGACAGATCAATCAGTGGCTTGCCTAAAGCCCAGCCAAAGAGTTCCTGCCTGAAGTGATCCAAACTTGGGTTTTCTGGTTCATAGCTCAGCTACTGAACCACCATGCTGTGCTAGTGGAAGTTAATTCATAGGTTTCAGTGGGACTTATTTCGAAGTAAATGTGAAAAGATTGCAACCCTTTGTCAGCTTGGCTCCACTGCCTGCTATTTCACACATTTCCCAGCAACAACTCTTGAGGTTTCTCCCACTTTGCGCCCCAACACTGTGTGTCTTCTGAAAAATGAGTTACGGCCAGTCCTGGGTCTCCAACAAGTATACCTAAATGAGGCACACATTTTTGAACACCTGCTCATTGCCCATGGGTTATCTTGGTAGTGTAACGTGTGAAGAGGCCCTGATAATCGCATGGATGATTAAGTCTCGCATAGGGTTCCTTTGGGTGGACTTTGGTGACAACAGAATATCTTTCTTCTTCTTCTTCTTCTTCTTCTTCTTCTTCTTCTTCTTCTTCTTCTTCTTCTTCTTCTTCTTCTTTGGCGATCACTCATAGTCGAGTAAGATTGTCTTCCATGAACACTATCTTAACAGTGAGTCCGTAAGTGGAGGCCAATTCTGGATCCACACATCCTTCCACAGTGGGAACATAGGTTTCCGGGCAGGAGTTGATCATGGTGAGGCTTTACCAAACATGCCTTCCTCTTAGCACATTTCTCCCTTTCATCCTGAGTTTGAGCATCTTCAAAGTCCATGACACCTTTGGTAAAGGCAGTTCTCCAATTGACGCGATCATAGGCCAGTGTTTCCCATTTGTCGCTGTTTATACTACATTTTTGTAGATTTGTCTTGAGAGAGAGAGAGATAAAACTTTATTCGCATTAGCCAATGGCCATAGCAACAGTAAAACATTACAGTATACGAAGAAAAGGAAATTTGATATAAAAGCACAAATTAAAGTCCTGAATCAGCAGTCAGTTAGTGGCCCTTATTCTGATTGCCCCTGCTGTGAACCTAGCAACCTTTGCTGTTATCTGCTCATTTTGATCTGATAGAAGAAAGGACATTGTGGCAGTGGTTGAGTGCGCTGGGATGGTTAGTACGAGTGGGGTGATGATCTCCTTCCTCAGGTCTTTGTAGAGAGTACAGTGGTACCTTGGGTTACAGACGCTTCAGGTTACAGACTCCGCTAACCCAGAAATAGTACCTCAGATTAAGAACTTTGCTTCAGGATGAGAACAGAAATCGTGTGGTGGCGGCACAGCAGCAGCGGGAGGCCCCATTAGCTAAAGTGGTACCTCAGGTTAAGAACAGCTTCAGGTTAAGAACGGACCTCCGGAACGAATTAAGTTCTTAACCCGAGGTACCACTGTACAGGACAGGAGGACGTGTGTCGCTGTTTCGGTGCTACCATCTCCACAGGGGCAAGGAGTCTTTTTTTTTAAAAGATATTTATTAAAATTTTCAAAGTATTACAAAATGAAAAAAGAAAAAAGAAAAATACAAAATAAAAATAGTTAAAAAACAATTCCATCTTTCCATCACTTATTTTTCATTTGCTTGTTTCCCGGACCTCCTCACACCTCCCTTTTTTGTATTCCAATTCAATTTATTAGTTCAGCAAATCCTTTCCCTCTTTGTTTATCCTAGTCTTTAATTTAAAATATTGTAACATTAAATTTTTACCTGTTAATAATCCATTTCTTCATATTCCTTATAGCGTTATAGCTAAAAACCACTTAACTTTTTATCCAACATCATTCTAACATTCATTAATTTTACAATATTTCTGTAGATAGTCTTTAAATTTCTTCCAATCTTCTTCCACCGACTCTTCTCCCTGGTCTCGGATTCTGCCGGTCATTTCTGCCAGTTCCATATAGTCCATCACACAGGGGCAAAGAGTCTTTAACCTCTTCTTTTACCTCAACAACAACAGCAGCAGCAGAATGTAACAAATGGACCACAGATATATGGTAACTGGTGACTGGGGAGAGGCAAGCAGTTGTAGAAGGAATCTAATATTGGTAAATAATTTATTGTATGCTACTTCTACTTGACTGCATTTTAGAAGGAAAAGCACTCAGGGCGACGCATCTCTTCTTCCCTTCATGGATGAGGTGGGTCTGATGTGTAAATTCACATTCTTCAGAAGACAGACACCGCTTGCTCTGCCCATCTCTCCCCTGTAGCTTGTGGTGGTTTGGCCAGAACTTTGACATAACGACGCTAAAATGATAACCTTAATTCTTAATTATTCGCATTTGTTTAGACTTTACATGAGTTTCTGGCATAGGAATGAATGAATAAATAAATAATAAGTATCTTATTAGTAGTAAGGTAAAAGGACCCCTGGATGTTTAAGTCCAGTCAAAGGTGACTATGGGGTTGCGGTGCTCATCTCGCTTCCAGGCTGAGGGAGCCGGTGTTTGTCCACAGACAGCTTTCCGGGTCATGTGGCCAGCAGGACTAAACTGCTTCTGGTGCAACAGGACACCGTGACGGAATCCAGAAACGCACAGAAACACGGTTTACTTTCCCGCCACAGTGGTACCTATTTATCTACTTGTACTGGTGTGCTTTCAAACTGCTAGGTCGTGCCGACTCAAACTGCCGACCTTCCTTTTTTTTTTTTTCTTCAATTGATTTTTATTGATGTATATATAAAAAAAAGAAAAAAAAGAAAAAAGGAAAAAAAAAATTCCATAAATTTTCCCATTCATCATTTTCACATCACATATTCGATTTGTAGAACTCCCCTCAACTCGTCTGAAGTCTTCCATAATTATTTTCCTAGCTACACATTTCTTAATTTCTCTATCACCCTTAAATAACAATTAAACCCTCATTTATCTTCTTGTGATATTCATTTTTTTTCACAAAGCCTCTTTAAAACATACTAGCGTTATATTCTCCTCACATACAGTTTTCAAATACTCTCTAAATTTTCCCCAGTCCTCCAAAAACTTATGATCTTTCTGAAATCTAATTTTTCCAGTTAGTTTGTCCAGTTTCCGAGTATTCCGTTAGTTTTGTTCTCCATTCTTCCAAAGTCGGTATTTGTTCTTGTTTCCAGCATTGGGCTATCAGCATCCTCGCTGCGGTTATCGCATATTGAAAGAGCTTTAAGTCCTTCCTTTTTATCTCCTTTTTAGTTATACCTAGCAAAAAGGTCTCTGGTCTCTTTACAAAACTATACCTTAATATTTTCTTTAACTCATTGTATATTTTTTCCCAAAAACCTTTCACTATTTTGCATTCCCACCACATATGCATAAACGTACCCTCCCTCTCTCCACATCTCCAGCACTTATTACAGATCTTATACATCTTTGCCAGTTTAACCGGCGTTAGATACCATCTATATACCATTTTCATGGTATTTTCTTTCAATGTAATAGATGCTGTATATTTCAGATTTTCATTCCATATCTTATACCACTCTTCCAACTCTATGTTGTGCCCTAAGTCTCTGGCCCAATGGATCATTACCTCCTTCACCTCCTCATCCATCGTATGCCATTCTAATAACATTTTGTACATTTTGGATATGATTTTGCAATCGTTGTTAACCACCTCTGTTTGAAACTTCGACTCTCTTTCATTATATCCATTTTCCTTCAACTCTTTTTTAAACATATTCGATATCTGATGGTAGTGCAGCCAATCATATACATGTTCTTTTACCTGCTCATATGGCTTTACTTTCCAATTCTCCCCTTCTTTCATCACCAACTCTCCATAGGTGATCCAATTGCTTCTCATATTAATTTTCTTTACTCCTATAGCCTCTAGTGGGGATAACCAATGAGGTACACCCCTTTCCAATATGTTTTTATATCTATCCCATACCTCAATTAACGATTTTCGAAATATATGATTTTCAAATGATTTGTGACCTTTCTTCTTCTCTTGCCATAAGTAAGCGTGCCACCCAATCCTAAATCAAATCCTTCTAAATCCAGTAATTTTGTGTTTTTGAGTTTCACCCACTCTCTTAGCCAACAGAGGCATGATGCCTCATAATATATTTTCATATCTGGCAGGGCAAATCCCCCTCTCTCCTTTGTATCTATTAACAACTTATGTTTAATCCTCGGTTTTTTGCCCTGCCAAATATATCTCGAAATCGCTCTTTGCCATTCTTTGAAGTTTTTTTACCCCTCTTACTACTGGAATCATCTGGAATAAAAATAACATCCGAGGTAGCACGCTCATCTTAATCATTGCTATTCTGCCCCAGAAGGATAATTTTAGCCTACTCCATCCTTCTAAGTCTTTTTTAATTCTATTCCATACCGGGACATAATTGTTCTGAAACAAGTCGATGTTCCTTGATGTTAGCCACACTCCCAAATATTTAACCTTTTTGACAATTTCTATTCCTAAGTCCTGTTGCAACCCCTCCATCATTCTTTGATCCATATTCTTGGTTAGAATCTTAGTTTTCTTCTTATTCAGTACAAAACCCGCCAACTCGCCAAATATCTCTATTTCCTTTAATACTTCCGTTGCATTACTCAACGGATCCTCCACCGTTATAACCACGTCGTCAGCAAAGGCTTTGATCTTATATTCATTTTTCCCCACTCTCACTCCCTTTATTCTTTCATTTTTCCTGATTGAGTTCAAAAGGGTCTCCAAGATCATTATAAACAGCAGAGGTGAGAGGGGACAACCCTGTCTTGTGCCTTTTGATATTTTAATCTCTTCCGTTATTACATCATTTATTATCAACTTTGCTCTTTGATCTGTATATATCGCCTTTATACCATTGAGAAAATCATTCCCCATTTCCATGTATTCCAAATTTTTCAACATAAAGTCCCATGTTATGTTGTCGAATGCCTTTTCGGCATCCACAAACATTAGCATTGCTCGCTTCTCATTCCTAGCTGACAGAAGTTCCACAATGTTTATTATTTTCCTCATATTATCTCTCATCTGCCTGCCGGGAAGGAAGCCTGCCTGGTCCTCATGTATAACTTCCTGTAAAACCTTTTTTAATCTCCTTGCCATTACCCCTGTAAAATTTTATAGTCTATGTTCAATAAGGAGATTGGTCTATAATTCTTCACCTGTGTTGGGTCTGCCTCCTCTTTTGGGATAAAGGTTATAAATGCTTCCCTCCAGGTCTCTGGTAACTCTTTCTCTTTTAATATTTTATTCATTACTTCTTTTAACGGAAGTGTCAGCGTTTGTCTCAACTCTTTATAATACCTTACTGTGAAACCGTCTGGTCCCGGCGCTTTCCCATTCTTCAAATCGTTTATCACTACCTTAATCTCTTCACTCTCAATCGGAGCATTCAAGCTCTCCCTTGCTTCTACCGAAATCTTTTGTACCTCTTTCTCTTTCAGATATCTCTCTATTTTCCTCAGATTATTCTTTTCCTTATTTCTATATAGTTGGCTATAAAAGTCCAGAAATCCTTTTCTTATACCTTTTGGGCTAATTATTTCTTCTTCTTTTACTTTAATTTTATATATCGTCCTTTGCTCTTTCCTCTTCTTGATCTGCCACGCAAGCCACTTTCCCGGTTTATTTGCAAACTCAAAACTCTTTTGTTTCAAATTTTTAATGTGCCATTCTATCTCCTTATTAATTATCATTGCGAATTGTGTTTGTAGAGCCTTTATACTCTGCCTGATTTTTAAGTTGTTTGGTTTCTTAATTAGTTTTTGTTCGTATTCCATAATTTGTTTTAGGATTTCATTCTTACTTTTCTCCCTATTCTTTTTTTGATTGAGTTTTGTTGTATACAAAACCCTCTCATTACCGCCTTTCCTGCGTCCCACACTGTACTTATTCTCGTCCCCTTGTTGCAGTTATCCATAAAATATTCATTCAATTTTTTCTGGGCGTCTTGTGTGAATTTTTGATCATCAAACAGATTATCATTTAATCTCCATCTAAATGTTTTTTCTACAAAGCTTTTAATTTCTAATCTAATCGGGTTATGGTCTGAGATTACTCTTGGTTCGATTTCCACCTGGAGAGTTCTTGGAACCAGTTCTCCTGAAATCCAAATTTGGTCAATTCTTGATAACGACTGATTTGGGTCAGAATAAAATGTGAATTGTTTGCCCAATGGGTTTCTTAACCTCCAAATATCTATTAGATTGCAGCTCTTGACCAATTCAAAAAATGTTTTAGGTAGTTTCCCTTCTTTTACCCCACCCTCCCTTAATCTATCCATTTCTAATGAAACCACCCCATTCATATCCCCCATCAAAATTATCTTTTGGTCCACATATTCCAATAGTCTCTCTTCCAAATTTTTATAGAACTCAGTTTTGTTTCCATTGGGTGCATAAATCCCAACAATAATTATTTTTTCACCTTGCCACTTTATCTGCACCCCCAAAATTCTCCCTTCTTCATCCTTGAACATTTGTTGAGTTTCTAAATTACTTTTTATGTACATAATCACCCCCCTTTTCTTATCTTTATCTGAGGAAATAAATTCGTTCCCCAGTCTTTTATTTACCAAGATCTTCCTATGTCTTCTTGCCACGTGTGTCTCCTGCAAGCAGATTACATCTAGCTTTTTCCTCTTTAGAAACTGTTCCACCTTATTCCGTTTTTTTTATCGTTCAGACCATTAATATTCCAATTCCATAGTTTTAGTGTCATTTTCGCTTTTTATTAATAAAGTTATCCTCCTCCAATTGTTTAATTGTTTAATTTATAATCTTTCCTCTTCTTCCTCCCTGTCCTCCTCCTCCTCTTCTTCTTCCTCCCCATCCGGTTTTTCTCCAACTTTTCTCCTCTGTTCCCCATCCAGTTGTCCTTTTACTTCCACTCTCCCTGTTGCAGCCTTTAATTTCCTCCTCCTCCTCTATCAATAGTTCTTTATATTTCCTTTGAATTTACCTATTTCTTCCGGACTAGTCAGTCTGTGCCTTTTATTTTTGTAGGTGAAAGATATCCCTTCCGGGAACTCCCATTTGAACTCTATGTTATTCTTTTTAAGAAAACTGCCGACCTTCCAATCAGCCAGCCCAAGAGGCTCAGTGGTTTAGACCACAGTGCCACCTGCATCCCCATCTTACTATTAATGGAAGCCGTGGACCCTCCAGATGTTTGTTGGACTAGGAACATCCCATATCCATCCCTGACTATTATTGCCCTTGCTGGCTGGGTGCTGACGGGAGTTTGAGTTACAACAGCCCTCTGGATATGGGCACAGATTCCCACATCCCTATAACAAAGCACAACAAAAGAAGGCAGAGGGCCTTCTCGGTAGTGGCACCCCCAGTGGAAGCCCTCCCACCAGATGTCAAAGAGAAAAATAACTACCAAACTTTTAGAAGACATCTAAAGGCAGCCCTGTTTAGGGAAGCTTTTAATGTTTAATAGGTTACTGATTTTAGTGTTTGTTGGAAGCCGCCAGAGTGCTGGGGAATTATGTTTATTATTGTATGCAGCGCATTGTATATATAATACAGCAATTTATTAGATATTATTATGTAGAAAGCGTGGGTCGCTGTGATAAACAGCTCAGCCATTTAGTCGACTATTCAATTACGGCGGTCGATTCGTTGTTCGGTCCCAGCGCCTGGCCACCTGCAGTTCGAAAGCACCCCCGGGTGCAAGTAGATAAATAGGGACCGCTTACTAGCGGGAAGGTAAACGGCGTTCCGTGTGCTGCGCTGGCTCGCCAGATGCAGCTTTGTCACGCTGGCCACGTGACCCGGAAGTGTCTCCGGACAGCGCTGGCCCCCGGCCTCTGGAGTGAGATGGGCGCACAACCCTAGAGTCTGTCAAGACTGGCCCGTACGGGCAGGGGTACCTTTACCTTTTTATTCATTACCATAGTGAGTAAGAAAAACACACAGTCCCTATTTTTAATAGGTATAGCTGCAGGGTGTGGTGCTGGCCCCTAGAAAAGAAAAAAAAGGCAGAACAGGGAAAAGGGCATTATGACCCTGATAATTGGTGAGCTGCTTGGACTTGCTCTTTCGCAGATCCGCTTAGGGAGTGTTGCTAGGATAGACCTTGCAAGCGCACTTGGGGCCTGCCTTAAACTGACATGCCATCCCTGAGTACATTGGACAGGCAGGAGCAACTAGTTCTGGCTCCCTGATGAGTGGACCTGCACACACGCACATAGACACATTTGCAAGTATACATTACCTTTTTAAGTAGAGGCAACTCCCTGTTTGCACGGCGGTTGTGTTCCAGGTCATTGCGTGCTTGCGTGAACTTGCGTATGCTCGGAACACCTATTGAAAAAGCCTGCAAACAGCCCATGTCACTTCCGCCCCTTTTTGTGATGTTTTTGGGTCGCTTCCGGGTTCGGCACGATGCATGTGTGTGCGGTCACGTACATATCGGACACACCGTTTTGAGTGTCACACTTCTGTTTTGAGTGTTACGCTGAGGTCTGTCTGTTTCTGCTACTTATTTTGCATTTTTGTTTTTGCAGCTTTTTTGTTTTGTTTTGTGACTGTGTGGAACCCAGTTCAGCTCCTGATGGATTGATTGTGTGACTGCAGTACATTGTTTATTGCTTTCATTTTATGGATCAATGGTCTCATTAGATAGTAAAATTCATGTTAAATAGCTGTTTTAGGGGTTTTTTTTTAAAAGTCTGGAACGGATTAATCCATTTTGCATTATTTTCTATGGGAAAGCATGCCTTGGTTTTGGAACGCTTTGGTTTTGGAATGGATTAAGTTTGAGAACCAAGGTACCACTGTACTGCTTTTAAAATAAGTAGTCCATATATATTGGTAGTTTTTGTAACTTTGCCTTTTCAGGAAAGTTTTCCTCAAATGTGGGGTATAAATAAAATAAAATAATATAAAATAAAATAATTTCTATGAAGTCGGGGATGCTGGGAGCTGGAGGCCAGCAAAGTCTGGGTGTGTTCAGGTTTTTCTATCCCTGCAAATGCAGGTAGCAGAAGTAGCCGTATATTTTGGAGTATCACAGATTTCCTTTCTCTCTCCCTCTCTTTAGAAATTCCAGGCCTTTAACTCCACCATCGGATATTGCAGGACTTTATACCGGCCGAAGTGTTTTGGAGGCAGCTGTGGAGCAAAGGGAACATCTTGGCCTGTGGCTTCCCTTCCTTCCTTGGCGGAGGCAGTGGGGTAACCTCTGCCTTCCCCTTGCCCCACTCCTGGCTGGGGAGGAGGGTGATGGCTCGCTTGAAACAGCTTGGATTCCTTCTGGCAGTCTCTCTCCAGTCCTGCTTACAGCCCACTTTGTGTCAAGGTGAGTGCTCCCTTCGCTCTTGCAAACAGGAAAAGTGATCAGTATGGTCTATCTGTGTGCGTGCTGGCCTATATCTCTGGCCCTTAGAACTCTCCCAGGGCCATGTCCTCTCCCCAACCACAACTTCTTCCCCAAGCCTCATTTAGGTAAAGTTAAAGGGACCCCTGGGAGCCGGCGTACAGCTTCTGGGTCACGTGGCCAGCATGACTAAGCCGCTTCTTGTGAACCACAGCAGTGCACGGAAACGCCGTTTACCTTCCCGCCGGAATGGTACCTATTTATCTACTTGCACTGGCATGCTTTTGAACTGCTAGGTTGGCAGGAGCAGGGACCGAACAACGGGAGCTCACCCCATTGCAGGGATTTGAACCGCCGACCGTCTGATCAGCAAGTCCTAGGCTCTGTGATTTAACCCACAGCGCCACCCATGTCCCTAAGCCTCATTTACCTTGCTTCAAATCTTCCTTGAGTGTTTTTTGTCTGGCTGCAATCAGTGGCGGAGGAACCCTCTCTGGTACTTGGGGCGAGATGCCATGGGGCGGGGCGAACCGCCCGGTGGCGCACACACGACATCCGTACGGGGTGCGCACGCGCGGCATCTCGTATGAGGTGCGTACGCGTGGCAGCCCTTCGCTCGTGCGGCAACAGTATAGGTTGCTGCGCGTGCGCACTCTGTACAACATTCCGCACATGTGCACTCCATACGGGCTGTCACTCGCACAGCGTCTGTACGGGCCGCCACTTGCGCGCGCCGTCCATACAGCACATGTGCGGCATTCTGTACAGATTGCACACGCGCGGCAGCCCATACGGTCACTGTGCAAGAGGTGCCCATACTGACTGCACACACCCTCAGCCGCTCTACAGCCAGGGAGAGGCCCTCAGCTTGCAAAAGGGTTTCCCACCACTGCACTAAGTGCTTAGAGAGCATTCAGTGAACAACAGGCAGAAAGCTTTCTCTAAAATCAATTGTTTGCATCAATTAAGTGTTCTAAATTTGTTGTTAGCTGCCCTGAGCCCGGTTTTCTGAACCGGGAAGGGCGGGGTATAAATAAAAAAATATTATTCAAATCGCCTTCCCCAACCCCAGTATCAATAAATCTCCCCTTTGGCATTAGCATGGATCTCAGTGTAACAGAACCGCCCCCTGGAAACCTGCCATGAGTCAACCGTGCAAAGAAGCCATAAAAGTTACTGGCATGCTTTAAAAAAGAAAAGAGCCTGCTAAGCGGCTAGAAGCCTATGTTTTTGTGCTGGCCAGAGGGGAAGCCCCCCTACATGGAAGTGCAGGGTGGGATTCAACAGATGAGTCCCAACAGCAAGGACTTCTGCTTGTGCAATGGTTCTTCCCCCCGCTCTCCTACCCCTGCACCCACTGCACCCCCCCAAAAAATGGACTCTGTGGAAATTGGGAGAGCACCCAGAACAGCGCATGGGGAGGGGATTGTTCTGCCTGGCAAGCCAAATTGCTTGGCGTGATGGAATGGTAATGTTAGCGGGGTGCTGAATTCCTCACACTAATAAAGAAACATGTTTTGAACCAAACAAGCTGGTTGGGGGCGGGGGGGGGGGGGCAGGGTCCCCTTTACCATTCTGCTTGGCTTCTGTGCTAGCTGTGGGTGGAGGAGGAATGGAGAGAGCTGTCACTCCTCTGTGAACCCACTCACCTGAAGGGAATTCCTGGTCAGTTCATTAAATGCAAGCCTGCCATAGGTCAACCTTTTTGGGGGCAGCCGGGGGTAGGGGGTGGAGGAAGCCATTCATACCTAGGAATCTTTAAGTTAAGGACGCCTAGGACGTATTACTGAATGTCAGCCCAGGGGCAGAGGAAGGTGGGGGCGGGCCGCCCTGGGTGTCACCACTGAGGGGGGGTGACAAAATGCCGGGCGGCACTCACCACAGGGCCTGCAGTGTGCCTGAGCCACACGTCTCTCCTGGGAGAGACTCAGTGGCTTGGGTGCGTGCAGGCTCCTCTCTGCCCAAATGGTCCACTGCTGCCTCCCCCCCCCCCAGCTGTAGGGTGGCTGAGGGGGAGGAGGCAGGCAGATTCCTTGGAGGCCCTGCGGAGCGTCTTGCCCGACTGGCCCCGCCCCTGGGCGCAGGGCATGCACACCTCCCCAGGCGCCCGATTGGCTTGCTCTGTCACTGTGTCAGCCTTCCAATACTGTTCAATATAAAACACTGTTAGATGCTGTATCTTGCCAAACAATGTTGCATGTCAGCAATAGAATACAGTGATACCTCAGGTTACAGACGCTTCAGGTTACAGACTCCGCTAACCCAGAAATAGTACCTCGGGTTGAGAACTTTGCTTCAGGATGAGAACAGAAATCACGTGGTGGCAGAGCGGCGGCAGCAGCAGCAGGAGGCCCCATTAGCTAAAGTGGTGCTTCAGGTTAAGAACAGTTTCAGGTTAAGAACGGACCTCCGGAACGAAATAAGTTGTACACTGTACAGTGGTATCTCTGCTTGAGAACGGGATCCGTTCCGGAGGCCCGTTCGCAACATGAAAAGCCCGCAACCTGAAGCGCCGTATCTGTGCAGGTGTGCAGCGCGATTTAGCGCTTCTGCACATGCGCGAGCGGTGAAACCCAGAAGTAACCCTTTCCGGTACTTCTGGGTTGCCACGGGATGCAACCTGAGAAAACGTAACATGAAGTAAACGTAACATGAGGTATGACTGTACTCCTGGATCGCAACTACTAAATGTTGAGACTCTATCAAAATAGCATGGATTGTCAAAAAATGGTTATCAGTACGAATACAGATGTCTGAAGAATATTTAATTTTAAAATTTGCAAAAAAGGGGGGGAGCAAATTCATTTTGGGGGTCAAAGTCACGCACCCTTCTTGCTAGGATTCAATTTAAGGGTGGATAGGTCTTTGGATCATTCTTGATCCTGAAATAGTTTCAAGGAAGGAGGCCAGATCATCCCAGAAAGCAGAACGGAGCTCCTTTTTCTAGGAATGTGTCAGAGCCACTCTGGACTTCCTTGAAGTGTTTTTGTAGGCTTCACCTGTCAATTGCAAAGCACTTTCAGGGCGTGCCTCTGGCTCCCTTGGCTCAAGGAGTGAGCTCTGTCTGACTCACTCGTGCCCTCCCCAGCGCAGTGGGTGTGGATTCCCTGAAACACAACAGAGAAGGCACCAACCAGGTTGCTCCACCATGCATCTTCTGGTTCCTGGGCAGTGCCCAGCCTGAAATGAAAACTGAATGCCTAAGAGAAAGAACTGTCTCAACAAGAACCACACCTGTCCCAGGAGAGATTGAAAGCCATGGGCTTAGCTCTGTAAGTGAAGGCTTCCGGAGGAGGTGCAGGTCTGGTAATTAAGGCCTCAGGTGCCCAAGGGAGGTCCTTTCTGAAATGCACCTGTCTCCGCATCACGTGTCCTTGATGAAGAACCCCCATGGACAGTGCAGAGCCTGAGGACTAGTTGGGCTGTCATTAAACAGAAGTACTGTTTTGGATGGGGGACGGGGCGGACAGGTTTGGGAGACTCCCTGGTCCTGAATGGAGTAACTGTGCCCCTGAAGGACCAGGTTCTCAGCCTGGGGGTCAGATTGGACTCACAGCTGTCCATGGAGGTGCAGGTCAATTCTGTGTCCAGGGCAGCTGTCTACCAGCTCCATCTGGTACGCCGGCTGAGACCCTACCTGTTTACCACAGTGTCTTAACAAAGTGGTTCATGCTCTGGTTATCTCCCTCTTGGACTACTGAAATGGGCTCTGTGTGGGACTACCTTCGAAGGTGACTCTGAAACTACAACTAATCCAGAATGCAGCTGGCAGACTGGTGACTGGGAGAGGCTGCTGGTACCATATAACACTGGTCCTAAAGGATCTACACTGGTTCCCAGTATGTTTCTGAGCACAATTCAAAGTGTTGGTGCTGTCTTTTAAAGCCCTAAACGGTCTCAGCCCAGTATACCTGAAGGAGCGTTTCCACTCCCATTGTTCAGCACAGACACTGAGGTCCAGCTCCGAGGGCCTTCTGGCGGTTCCCTCACTGTGAGAAGTGAGGTTACAGGGAACCAGGCAAGAGGGCCTTCTTGGTGGTGAACGTTGACATCTTCCAAGTCTAACAGTCTTGGGGGCCACAATGTCAGGTCTGAAACCACGTTTGATAGCTCAGGTAGAGAATCAGTTGGGCAGTAACAGTGACTGCCTGCCCTCCCAGCCAGCCCCCCAGCACACCCTGGAGGTACACTTGGTACTCAGGGGGCATTGCTGGAGGAGGCCGACCCCACACTGCTGCCCCACCTAGGCCTTAGTTATAGATGTCCCATCGGCTTCTTCATCCTTGATTAAATTGTGGGTGAGGGACAACTTATTATGGACCAACCTGGGATTTTCAAGCAGCACCCAGAGACCCAAGTCAAGCTGGCATAGTCACCACCAAACATCTTGAGATGTTGTCTGCTTAGCAGGAGGTTGGACTTGATGGCCCTTGTGGTCTATTCCAACTCTATGATTCTATGAAAAAGGGCCAGAACATGACACAGGCTGTATTTGCCTGTGCCACAGTCCAGACTCCAAAGGTCTGAACTGAGCTCTCTTCAACTGGTTCACTCTTGATCCAGTGTGTCAAATCTCTGCTTGTCCATGACCACCGGAATTGGGCTCTCTGATGCTTCCCTCAAGCAGTCCAAGGTTTGCTCTTCCAGGCACATGATAGACTTAATAAATAACTCCTGGCTGCCTCAGCAAAAGCAATACACCCACCCACTAACCAGCAGGTAAGAAATAAAACTCAAACCCTGACACCCCCCCCAGGGGTGGAGGAAGGGGTGTGTGGTGGGTGCGGTCCACCCTGAATGTCACCACTGGGGGGTGACAAAATGCCGGGCGGCACTCACCGTGGGGCCTGCAGTGCGCCTGAGCTACGCATCTCTCCCGGGAGAGACGTGGTGGCTTGGGTGCGCGCAGGCTCCATGCTGCCCAAACGGTCCGTCTGCTGCCTCCCCCCCCCAAGCTGTAGGGCTGCTGAGTGGGAAGAGGCAGGCAGACTCCAGAGGCCCCACGGTGTGGCCTGCCCCTATGGGCGGCTCACCCCAGGCACCCGAGCAGCTTCCCCCACCGCTGACCCCCCTTTCCCTAGAGACCTTAGCGTGTGAGATGCTGTTTGTTTCTCCATGTGTGCACATCACTGATACATGCTCTGATAACAGCTTTCTTCAGTCTTTGTTTGCAGTGCGCATGCAGTGAAATAAATGTGTGAAGTGCCTCATGGGTACATGGTGTACGGTTGGGTGCACTGTAAACCTCTGCTGGGCAGAAGCCAAAACTGTAATGTGTGGACACTTTTCAATCCTGTTTTAAATTTGTTATTATGTATGCTTTTACATACATACAAGGGACACGGGTGGCACTGTGGTTTAAACTACAGGGCCTAGGACTTGCCGATCAGAAGATTGGTGGTTCGAATCCCCATGACAGGGTGAGCTCCCATTGCCCAGTCCCTGCTCCTGTCAACCTAGCAGTTCGAAAGCAGGTCAAAGTGCAAGTAGATAAATAGGTACCACTCTGGCGGGAAGGTAAATGGCGTTTCCATGCGCTGCTCTGGTTCGCCAGAAGCGGCTTAGTCATGCTGGCCACATAACCCAGAAGCTGTACACCGGCTCCCTTGGCCAATAAAGCGAGATGAGTGCCGCAACCCCAGAGTCGGCCACGACTGGACCTAATGGTCAGGGGTCCCTTTACCTTTACCTTTATGCTTTTACAGTTAGGAGTCGGTATGAAACATTTTATGTCGTAAGTAACAAATCAGTGCAAGGAACAACCTTCTCTCTCCTCTCTGCATGTCAGTGGGGGTGTGCCCTGGGTGGATGACCCCTTCTCTCCTTGAAGGGGGAGGAGCAGTAAATGCAGAGATGGCAATAGTTTACCTGCTCTGCAGTTGCATCAGCTGCTCGACCTCCCCTCCCACCGCCATAAATAGGGTCACATGTGTGCCCCTCCCCTTGCCACCACACAACTGAACTGCAGGTAACTCACATCTTGTGTGAGGGTTCAGTTCCAGCGGTCCACACATATTTGGGAAAATGTGTGAAGTCGGGAACCTCTCAAACGGTCCTCCTTCCCTGGCAAGGTGGAGCTTGGCTTATCTGGCTTTGAGGAGGCAGCGCAAGGGTCCCAGAGTCCCAGAGCCCTCATGCCTCCATCCCGAAGCCTAGTTAACACTTTCCCAGCTTGGGGATGGAGGTGCGAGGGCTCTAGGATCCTGCTAGAGCCCACACACTGCCTTTCCAAAGCCAAGTCCGTGATGATTTGATTTGCGCAGGTGGCAGCGGTAAGTAAATGCTGCAGTCGGTAAGTAAAATAAGTGTCAAGATGTGAGCTTCCTGCAATGTGAGATTCACATGCTCTTGGTTAAAAGGTCTAACTTCAGTGCATTCTTTGTTCTTTGTCGTCTAATCTGAACCCCTAAAAAAGAGACATTGCACGTTCTTTTGTAATTCATGAAAATCTTTTAATAAAATTATTTATTAAAAAAGTGTGTCTGTGTGTGCAGACCTCATGAACTGGGCCATTCTGCAATATGGCTCTCCATGGGGAGAGTGCCCTATGTTGCATGTTACTTCTTGGCTATGGTCTAATGAAACAGGGAGGAGTGTAAAATGATTCATTGCCTGGCAAAAGATGACCTGAGTTAGCTGGAAGCTTGTCCCTTCTTCTCCTCCAGAGATCAGCAAACACTTTCAGCAGGGGGCCGGTCCACTGTCCCTCAGGCCTTTTGGGGGGCTGGACTATATAGTGGTACCTCGGGTTAAGTACTTAATTCGTTCCGCAGGTCTGTACTTAACCTGAAACTGTTCTTAGCCTGAAGCACCACTTTAGCTAATGGGGCCTCCTGCTGCCGCTGTGCCGCCGGAGCCCGATTTCTGTTCTTATCCTGAAGCAAAGTTCTTAACCTAAAGCACTATTTCTGGCTTAGTGGAGTCTGTAACCTGAAGCGTATGTAACCTGAAGCGTATGCAACCTGAGGTACCACTGTATTTTTGGGGGGGGGTGGGGGAATGAACGAATTCCTATGCCCCACAAATAACTCAGATATGCATTTTAAATAAAAGGACACATTCTACTCATGTAAAAGCACGCTGATTCCCACACTGTCCGCAGGCCAGATTTAGAAGGCTATTGGGCCGAATCCAGCCCCTGGGCCTTAGTTTGCCTACCCATGTTCTTCTCTAACGCCTACTGTTTGTCTCTTTCCAAAACAAGGCACTAACAGCACTCCAGTGGAAACCACATCCTTTCCTCCCTCTCCTTCATATGGCCTTTCGGTATGTATGTCTGTCTCTCTTGGGCAGGGTCTGTGTGTGTCAGTATTTTTTGGGGGGTGATCTTGAAGTGGGCATCTAATGCTGCCTAAAGGGGGGCATCATTGTCTGGGCAAGGCAGGTGCAGACTGGTTGTAGCTTAGCTCGGTCTGCCTTTCCGTACCTCAGGCAAGGGCACCTTGGGTCTTTTGAAGCTCTTGCCTGCAGCGTTAAATTGGATAGATAATAATAATAATAATAATTTATTATTTATACCCCGCCCATCTGGCTGAGTTTCCCCAGCCACTCTGGGCGGCTCCCAATCAGTGTTAAAAACAGTACAGCGTTACATATTAAAAACTTCCCTGATATTTACATGCTCAAGGCAGCTGTTATCACCACTACCCAAAAATGACTGCGGCCAGTTGAGACAACATGGTAGCAAATTCAAGAGGGGAAAAAATGGAAGAGGGCTGGATTTGGCCCCCTCCCTCTGCTGTGGTCAGTTGATGATGGTATGTTACGGTAGCAGCAATGCAGACGACAAAGGACTGGGTTTGGGCAGCATCTCTGGGCTTGAAAACCTGGCTTACAGTTCAGGTTTGCATCTGACACATGACCCATCCTGGTGCTGGGCTGCCCATCGGTTTGCTCACAACAATTGGTGCAGCCGCACCAGCATGCCAAGCAGTTGATCAGGGCAGCCATATTTTCAAGAGATGCCCACGAATCTACACTGCGCATTTTGATTTGTGCAGTTCAGGTGCGCAAGTCTAAGGAGCGTGCAGGGGAGACCAGGCTTCCCCCCCTACGGCATGTTATAATAATAATAATAATAATAATAATAATAATAATAATAATAATAATAATTTATTATTTATACCCCGCCCATCTGGCCAGGCCTCCCAGCCACTCTGGGCGGCTTCCAACAAAACACTAAAATACAATAACCTATTAAACATTAAAAGCTTCCCTGAACAGGGCTGCCTTCAGATGTCTTCTAAAAGTTTGGTAGTTGTTGTTCTCTTTGACATCTGGTGGGAGGGCGTTCCACAGGGCGGGTGCCACTACCGAGAAGGCCCTCTGCCTGGTTTCCTGTAACTTGGCTTCTCGCAGCGAGGGAACTGCCAGAAGGCTCTCGGCGCTGGACCTCACAGTGTTAGGCCCTGCCTCACTTTCCTCCGCTGTAACGATGTTCTCCCCCTTTTTCTTTCCCCGTGGCAGAAGTCGGAGCTGGCGGCAGCCATCGCTGTGCCCTGTGTTTTTGGGGGCCTCCTGCTGATCGGCCTCCTGGTTTTTATGGGACTCAAAATCCGGGAGAAGAGGCAGACAGAGGGCACTTACCGCCCAGCAGCGAGGAGCAGGTGGGTGCCCGCGTCGAAACTAACACCAACCTCAAGCTTCCCCCGGAAGAGCGACTCATCTGAGATGGGGGAAAGGGCTCTGCTTTTGGGTCTCAGCTTGGTTGGAGCTGCTCAACGCACTGGACTCCAAAAAAACTAACATTTAAAAGGGTGCATCTGCTGCTGCCAGGCTTGAGGTTTCCCAGCAAGCCTCTTAAAGCTTTCCCTGCAGGCTGGATGTGAACTGCTGCACACAGGAGACACATGTGTTTTAGAATGAGCTTTGAGGAGCGGCTGGATCTCATGCATGCACACTGCTGGGAATGGCTAGAGGCAGACAGTTCAAGGCAAGACTGGACCCTGCCTCTCTGGGCACACAGAAGAGAGAGGGCTGCCCCCCTCAGCCCACGCAATGCCAACCGCCCAGTGCTAGATCTCCCTTCTCTTTGCTGCCCCAAAGAACGGACTCTTCTGACTCTAAGTGGGAGTGCGTGGAATTGCCACTCGAGCTGACACAGGAGTTGTTGCTTTTGTGTGAACAGGACAAGAGCAGAGGGTGGGTGGGGAGGCTGCTCTTTGCTTTAAGGGTCCTGCCGTGTGAGATCTGGGGCAGGCTTGCCTTTTTTGTTTTTAAAGAAACTGTATTGCGCTGTGCCTTTCAGTATGCCACTATTTAATAAAAACGAATCTCCCTTCTCTGGCAAGAGAAAAGTCGACACAACCTAGAGTGTTATTATACCGTTGCCTTACGGTTGGCCAGTTTGAGTCGGCAGGTGAATCTTAAATGTTTCATAGTAGGGAAGGGGAGAGCTGTGACCCTCCTAGGGGCTCTTGGGCTACAGTTTTGCTATACTGGCCGGGGCTGGTGGGAGCTGGAGTCCAGCAGCAGGGCCACAGATTCCCCCAGTCCTGTTTTAAACTAAAGGAGGACCGTACCAAATGGAAACCCAGCAAATAAACAGAGGTAGGGTCTCAACAAGATATTGTTAACCTGATTCCAAAGCTTTGCTTTAGGCATTTCAAGTCTGCTTTAGTTTGTTCAAAAGCACCTTATGCACATTAAGTCTTTCCAACAACGCTGTAAGGGCTAGGTCAGCATTATTATTCCCGTATTACAGACTGGGAGGGAATATCCAGGCCAGCCCAAGTCATCCTCATGAACGCATGATTTGAACTGAGGCCTTCCTGGTTCTCATTCATCCCTGACCACTGGTCCTGTTAGCTAGGGATGGTGGGAGTTGTAGTCCCAAAACATCTGGAGGGCCGAGTTTGCCTATGCCTGTATTAACCCCAAGGCCCTCTTAAGGAGGGGGTGGATGTGGAAGAGTTCCATGTTCATTTTACCCTTATATAGAGTTTTCCTCTCCCCATTTTATTGTCACAGCTCCAAGTTAGGCTAGGCTCAGGTACTGACTGCACAAATTGATAAACCTTGGCTTAAAAAGCTACACTCTGCATGAACCGCATTTGATGCACAAAGCCTGCCGCTCCCACTTTGCACAAGTGGTAAGACTAGGATGGGGTTTTAGCATTACATCCAGACTTGGGATCCTGGTTCGTTTCTCCCTAATCAGCTAGCTTGACGTAGGGTTGCCATATCTCCAGAATTCCCCGAAAATAGCCGGCAATTGGCCGTCGGAAACAGTGTCTGGGCGGAAATCGGTGAAACGTCCAGGAAAATCTGGGTGTACGGCAACTGATGTTGGCAGTGTCATTTTGGGCAATTTCCCTCAAAATTAGCTCAACAACTTTGCCACCCCCCAAAAAGAAAGCTCAACAACTTTGCCCCTTTCCCAAATGAAAGCTCAACAACTTTTCTGTCTGGATTTTCACTTTTTCAAATATGGCAACCCTAGCTTGTCTTAAATCAAGGTTTGTTGGTTTGCTAGGGAGAAACCAACCCTGAGCCTGCATTCAGATGTAACACAAATGGACTTGCCCCCTTTCGGGCTTATTTATCTGCTCCTGTGAAGGGAAGGTTGACGTGTGAGTGATTGGGCTGTGTGCATGTTATGAAGCAGAGGTTCATAGGTGAGATGTGGCCAGTAATTGCCTGGCAAGATGTGCAGACAGGCTGCCACGCGGTTACTGTTAAAATCTCTTTGTACGGTGGCTATCTCCACGGGGCAAATTGGATGCCGTGCCTCGCCCTACAGTGCAAGATATCTGGTCTGTCTCAAGTTGATGGTGAAGCCAGAGCACTTGTGTGCCTGAGTAGTGAACCCCAACATCCCTGTTGCTAATTAATATAAAGCACCACCCACTAGGGTGCTCTCCTGCCTAAGTCCCATTCCAGCTCACTGGAGCTGTACTAGAGCATAATTGTTGTTGTTGTTTAGTCGTTTAGTCGTGTCCAACTCTTCGTGACCCCCTGGACCAGAGCACGCCAGGCACTCCTGTCTTCCACTGCCTCCCGCAGTTTGGTCAGACTCATGTTTGTAGCTTCGAGAACACTATCCAACCATCTCACCCTCTGTCGTCCCCTTCTCCTTGTGCCCTCCATCTTTCCCAACATCAGGGTCTTTTCCAGGGAGTCTTCTCTTCTCATGAGGTGGCCAAAGTATTGGAGCCTCAACTTCACGATCTGTCCTTCCAGTGAGCACTCAGGTCTGATTTCCTTAAGAATGGATGCGTTTGATCTTCTTGCAGTCCACGGGACTCTCAAGAGTCTCCTCCAGCACCATAATTCAATTAGGAGCTGCCTAAAGCTCAGTTGTGGAAGGTATTTGAATTGTACAGTTCCGGTAGCTCCTTCCAGGCAGTAATTTTGAGCTGCAACCTTGTGCCTTGAGCTGGGGGGGGGTGTATCCTAGATATTTTATGTGCCCTTTCCAGAAACCTTCTCAGGCTAACTTTAAAAAAATGGAAATCTACCCTTTTGGGAGACTTAAACCTATTGGGGGGGGTGGTAAAAAAATCTCCCCCTTCCCTGTCTTTATAAATTGTGCCCTTTCTTGTGGCTTGTTTTTGACCCTTCACATTTGTGTATCTCTCCTTTGACTTTTCTCCCATTTGCCATCAATTGGATAGAGTTCAGATTGTGTTTCTATTATATTCCTAGAAAGGAGTAATTATTATTATTATTTTCCAGAGGGCAAAGAGCTACCCTGGCGTCCAAATTATTATTATTATTAGAATTTATATACTGCCCTATACCTGGAGGTATCAGGGTGGTTCACATAAAAAGATCACAGTATATAAAAGCAAGATAAAAACAATAACCCAATAATATCACCCCCCAAAGAGCCACATTTTAAAAGGGTATGGGATGTTGATCAGGTCAGCCAAATAACCTGCCAGGACCTGGTTCAGTGGAAGAGTGACAATTCAAAGGGTGGCAAAGTCTCTTATCCCACCACAGGCACTAGGTGGCAGAACTGCATTGCACAACTGATTTCAGCGGTTCTGTGCCACCAAAGTCCTGTCTCTTTAAGGGAACTTTTTAAAGGGCAGCTCTGTGTGTTTTTTTTACTTCCTTTCTGATCCATGACTCTCTTAGTTTTCCCAAGGAAAGGTGATTGTGCTTTGCTCTGTTTCCACCTCTATGCCTCTTGGATTTGGAAACGCACCATGTTTTACCTGGGAAAAGTAGGCTGGAGACTGCAACTTGCCTACAGACACACCGTCTCAAACTGGCAGAGCTGCACAATACATAAAAAATAAATAAATCTGCCATTGAATCCTAGAACTGTAGAGTTGAAAGGTAACTTGGGGGTCATTTAATCCAACCCCTTGAAATGCCAGAATAACAGGTGTTTCAGCCCTCATTGACCCTGTGTGAATGAGGGCAGACAAGCAAACCTGTTGTTGTTTTTCCTTTCAGACGTCTCCGCTGTTTGAAACACTTGTTCCATGAACCTGCCCTCTAGTCCCCCCCCCCATTTTTTAAAGGGAGGGGCCACTCAACAGATTGTCTCGGTATAAACTAGAGTTAGCCTAAAATACCAATGGACAATTAGGGCTGGTTACAAAGACGGGATGCGGGTGGCGCTGTGGGTTAAACTTGCTGATCAGAAGGTTGGCGGTTTGAATCCCCACAACGGGGTGAGCTCCCGTTGCTCAGTCCCTGCTCCTGCCAACCTAGCAGTTCAAAAGCACATCAAAGTGCAAGTAGATAAATAGGTACCGCTCTGGTGGGAAGGTAAACGGCGTTTCTTTGTGCTGCTCTGGTTCACCAGAAGCGGCTTAGTCATGCTGGCCACACGACCTGGAAGCTGTACGCCTCGGCCAATAAAGCGAGATGAGCGCCGCAACCCCAGAGTCGGCCATGACTGGACCTAATGGTCAGGGGTCCCTTTACCTTTACCTTACAAAGACTTGTGCCATATATTTAAAGCACACCCACCCACCCTAAAATCCTGAGAACTGTAGCTTACCCCTCACAGAGCTACAGTACTCAGGATTCTTTTTTGAAGGGGGGGGGAGAATGTACTTTAAATTTCCATGAGGAATTTTCCCTGCATGCGCTTGTGGGGCTTTTGTGCAGCTTCCTTTTGCCTCAGTGGGATGTGTGTAGGAAAACATCTCTGGAGAATGTTGTTCTGTGGGTCAGTTTGGCTATCTGCAGCTCTAAGGCCGTCCAAAAGCCTGCCACTTGGAAGTGTCAGCCACTGGCTTAGGTCTTTGTAAATTGTGGCTGTGGCCTTAAGGAATAGGGGTTTGGCTCTCACTGTGCTTCACTCGGATGTTATGTTTCCAACAAAATATCATTAAAAAGGCACAGCATTTATGGGACACTGCTTGCTTTTAGTCCTGGGTTTCCTTAAGCTTCTACCACGGTATTATTTACACAATATCTTTCCAAACTTGAAAGCACTGTCACAGAAAACTCGAATAGTTATTGTGGGTGTTAATGTTTATAATGCAGACCGAATGAAGCAAAAGCCAATCGGGAAATGGGTCTATCGGCTTTTGTCCTCCACTTAGTGGTTCAATCCACAGTAATCAATGCAATATACGACAGCATATCAATTGGCTTTTCACTATAATAATCTCGTCACACATTTTTAGATCTAAAGTCGTACCTTGGATCCTGAATGCCTTGGTACTCATATGTTTTGGCTCCCGAATGCTGAAAACCCGGAAGCAATCTTCCGGTTTGCGAATGTTCTTTGCAAGCTGAATGGCTCCTGCAGCCAATCGGAAGTCGTGCCTTGGTTTTCGAATGGTTTTGGGACTCAAACGGACTCCTGGAACGGATTAAGTTTGACAACCAAGGTACCACTGTATGCCTGTCATATCTAGGTATGTGCAACAGGAGGTTGCGTTGGGCTGTGTGATGTGTCCTCAGTAGCATTTTGCTCATTTTACCAAGCTGTTTGCAAAGGCAAGGCCATGTGCACGAGTTATATTATGTCCCTGTTTTTTAGGAGGGAGAAGGCAACTTAGAAATGTACTCTTCTTAAGTCTGAATGCTGAGATGTCTCCTTGTATGTCCTTGCACCCCTGATCCAATTGTTCTTTCACATCCTTGAACAGGTGGGATACTCAGCCAAATCAAATATGACAGTTGCTAAAACATGCAACTCTGATGCCAGAAGTGAAACCACTATTGCTGTATGATTCCCTGGTGGATCTCCCGGTGGATCAGGTCCCCCTCCACAAGCCAACAGGCTCCACTGCTTGCAGATCCATCTCCCCATAAGGCAGTAGCATTGTGCAATGCCTCAGCACGGAAAGCTTCCACCCTAGATGAGGAACGGTTAGCACCTGTTACAGAGAAGGAAGGGTACCTGCCTCTTCCTTCTCATTGCGAAGTCAATCCACTATTCTTTCTTCACTTGAAAATCTTCCCCTCCCTTTTCCTAAAATAAACTGATTTTTTATATTGTTGCTGGTTTCTGTTGATGCTTTGAGAAGTCAAGACGTACTGGGAAGCCAGTGCTGTTACCTTGTGCTCTGCGAACATAGGCACTGCCCTGTCCATAAGTATTCCCCTACTCCTGCAAGTTCTTATGAACATATGATTTTATGTCCCTAATGTCTTGTGCCACCGACAGGTGCTCTACTGCATGGATGGGGAATTGGCAGCCCCAAACAGCCACCATGGCTAAATAGTCTGGGATGATGGAAGTTGCAGTTCAATAAGATCAGGGTGGGGGATAGGGTCCCCATTCCCTTTGCAAGTCGTCTCAGAAAATTCAAAGCTTACCCTCATCTGCAAAGTGTAACGTCCTCTGCTTTCATGTACATTGGCTGGGCACTGTGAAGTTAAAGTCCCCCCCCAACAAAAACTGCTGGCCCATCATTCTGCCCGGACACTGAGGTCCAGCTCCAAGGGCCTTCTGGCAATTCCCTCACTGCGAGAAGTGAGGTTACAGGGGATCAGGCAGAGGGCCTTCTCGGTAGTGGCGCCCGTCCTGTGGAACACCCTCCCATCGGATGTCAAGGAAATAAGCAACTATCTGACTTTTAGAAGACGTCTGAAGGCAGCCCTGTTAAGGGAAGTTTTTAATGTTTGATGCTGCCCAGAGTGGCTGGGGAAACCCAGCCAGATGAGCGGGATATAAATAATAAATTATTATTATTATTTATTTATTTATTAGCAGGAGGGGGGGGGAGAGATTGTGGACAGATATTCCATCTGATAGTTACTTGCTCTAGTCTCCCTCTGGCATCCTTTCCTCTAGAAAGGAAGTTCTCCTTCCTTTTAGGTTTTTAAGCAGAGGCTGGATGGCTATCTGTTGTGGGTGCTTTAGCCAAGATTCCTGCATTGAAGGGGGTTGGACTAGATGACCCTTGGATCCCCTCCAGCTCTAAGATTCTATGATTCTGTAGTGTGCAAAGAGGGTTTGGAATGGCAGGAAATCTAGGTATCATCTGTACCCCTTGAGAAAGGGCTGCTCTTCACTGTGTAAACATTACACTGATGCTGATAGAGGCTGTTCCTGGCCACTCCTTCCTGCTCCATTATTCATTCTCTGAGAAACAAGTTTTACCATCTGCATATGCCTGCTATAACTTGGAAGAGCCACACATATTTCCAAGTTAGTACGAAGATGGCTATCTGGCTTCATCTCTGCGGAAAGCATAACACAAACTGCATGGATTTCACTGGAGTGCCCAGGCACAGGATGATGGAATGAACTGATTCAGTTCAAAAACATCAGGGGCATAAGGATGCCTTTGGTGGGTCAGACCAAAGATACAACTATTTGTGGGACATGGGTGGTGCTGTGGTCTAAACCACTGAGCTTCTTGAGCTTGCTGATCAGAAGGTCGGCGGTTCGAATCCCCATGACAAGGTGAGTTCCCGTTGCTCTGTCCCAGCTCCTGCCAACCTAGCAGTTTGAAAGCACACCAGCGCAAGTAGATAAATAGGTACCACTGTGGTGGGAAGGTAAAAGGTGTTTCCATGCACTCTGGTTTCCATCACAGTGTCCCGTTGCTCCAGAAGAGGTTTAGTCCTGCTGGCCACATAACCCGGAAAGCTGTCTGTGGACAAACGCCGGCTCCCTCGGCCTGAAAGCAAGATGAGTGCTGCAACCCCATAGTTGCCTTTGACTGGACTTAACCATCTAGGGGTCCTTTACATTTAGCTTTTGCCTACAATTATTTGATTTTAGCAACAGTCAGCCAGGTGCTTCTGGAAAGGCCACCAGCAGTGAATGGAGGAAACAGCCTCACTTGCATTGCTACCCCTGCCCAGGCAGCTGGTATTCAGAGACTTTGAACTTGGAGGGTCCATTTGGCTAGCATAAATAACAGCAACCGACAGACCTGTCTGTTCCACGAATTTATTGACTACTGCTACCTAAAAACCAGTGGCCATTACCACATCTGGAGCTAAAGTTCCTTGGTTTTATTTATGTTTATTCACGTGTGCACCCCCCCCCCAAATTAACTGATGTTGCAGCCACTGAGTGGCAAGCAGTGCATATGTTGAAACAGCCCAAGATGATAGCTTGTCCTTTTCCAGTTACATACTTTCCCTGATACGGTTTCCATATTGGGAAAAGTTACATGAAGAGCAATTTCATGTGTTTAGGAGAGGAATGGTGCTAAAGCAGTCTTTCCCCCAGTCCCAGGAATATGACTGTACGCACACACACACATTGATTTTTTCTTTAAAAATGTTTAGGGGTACTCTCATTTTCCTACTCATATTGAAATTCCGCCCTTCAATGAGGCCAAACATAGATTCACAAAATGTTCAGGTGTATGAGTATCCCCAGAAAAAAAGCACTGCTGTCTCTTAGTAGTGAGCAGGGGGCAGCTTACAAGTCAGGGCAGCAAGCGAGTCCTATGCACTGGGACTAAGAGGAGAACCCACTTCTGCTTCTAGAAGTCACTATTGATTCCCGGAGCGATGGGGTGTTTCCCCCAGTGCCTTTCAAAGCCCAGAGCTGCCTTGTGGCACCAGAGGAGAGGCCTGTAGTGCAGCCTCCGGCCACAGAAGCTACTACTTCACCCCGGAAGTCAAAAAGAACAGACAGGTGTTCCTCTTCCAAGGCTACAGACTCCTCACTCACTTTCTAGGCCTCGAATCTTTTCTTCAGCTCTGACACTTTGGCCAAGGGCCGGGAAGTCAAGGAGTATGGTGGTCTAGTGACCACCCCAAGGGCTGACACACCGTGCTTGGTCTTGAAGTCGGTGTCCACATTCACTTTTCTTTGGGACAAAGCCGCAGGTGATTGGATGCCAGGGCAATTGGTTGCTGGTGGCTCTGCCTTGGTGGCGGCAATGGCTGGAGTGAGTTTGAGCATCTGGTCAGTCCTAGACTCCTGTCCGGACTCCACCTCAGTGCAGCTTTCAGTTCCATTTTCATTTGTACTGGAGTTCTCGTGGTCTGTATTCCGGGTCCATGCCACTTGCGGCAGCTCATAGCCAGCGGTAAGAACTGCTGTCTCCCCTTGCGATGGAACTGCTGACTTCTCAGGGCAAGGAATCTCTTCGGGTTCAGGGACGTCACGGTCCCACTTCTCAAAGCTATTTTCTGCTGCTCTGGTGGACACTAGCAGAGCACTCTGCACATGCTCCTGATCCGGAGAGGCTGGGAGCAGGGTGCCCTCGGACAATGAGTCATCATCATCATCATCACCACCACCATCATCCTTTTCCTCAGACAGGGGTTCATGGAGTGTGTTCCTGCTGGGCCTCTGCTACAACAGACAAAGAGACTGAGTTGGAATTTGCTGCTGTCCACGCTTGGCCTCTTTGACAGGTGCACAGAGAGCCAAACTAGGAGGGCTTACCTTGGTATAGAAGTTCCTCTCTTCTAGGTTGCAGAAGTCCAGGCTCCGCGTCCCATAGAGTGGCCGCTGGGCTTGGCTTGGCTCCAGCAAGTTTAGAGTCTCAAAGATTTCACCTAAGAGGTCAATCCCACCTGTATCCAGGAAGTCCGGGTGCAGATTTTCAGGTTCTCCAGGCTCCAAAGAACAATCCAGCGAGCTTGAGCTGGAAGAGTTGGAAACTTCCCTGGAAGAATATATGTTTCACATGAGAAATGTGATCAGGAATAAAATGCTGTACAGTACATCAGGGGTCAGCTTTTTCAGCCGTGGGCTGGTCCACTGTCCCTCAGACCATGTGGTGGGCCAGACTATTTTTTTGGGGGGGGAAATAAACGAATTCCTATGCCCCACAAATAACCCAGAGATGCATTTTAAATAAAAGCACACATTCTACTCATGTAAAAACACCAGGCAGACCCCACAAATAACCCAGAGATGCATTTTAAATAAAAGCACACATTCTACTCATGTAAAAACACGCTGATTCCTGGATTTGGGCTGGATTTAGAAGGCGATTGGGCTGCATCCGGCCCCTGGGCCTTAGGTTGCCTACCCTTGCGGTACATGAAAACAACGGAGTTCGAAAGGTCCATGTAAAGTGACATGAGAGATGAGCATGTTCACACAACACAATGGCCAAGGGAACCAGCCTTATTTGAACCTTCTTGTATTGTTTCTGGCCCCGCTCAGCAAGATTTTGACTTCTGTAGTTTATGAAGAAAGCTGGAAAGGCAATTCATCCTTGTTTTGAACCTGGGTATGTTCAGTTCCCCCTCTCCCATGTGAAAGGCAGTAGGTTGGTAGGTGGATTTGTGTTGTTGTGATCGTTTATAGACTAGCCCCGGGCAGCGCTTGAGCTAAACACTGCTAATTATCACATTACCTGCACGACAGTCGAGCTGCACCACAGAACAGCTTCCAAATTTATTTTGGGTGTAGGTGACCTGTAAAAGCTTGTTTGGGCCTGCTCTGTTACCCTCTCACCACATCCATGCTCTCTGCAAAATGTCTGTGGAGCAAAACTCACAGGGACTTCACGAAAACAAAACTCGGCTCGGGTGGCCACAGGGCAGAACTCACGTATCTTTACAGGAGGGGCTGTGCAGCTTGTCTAAGTACGACATTCAAGAATTCAAGGGAAGCCACAATTGGAATTCATTAGCAGATATGATCCTGTGGGAGAGGCCATCTCGCTACAGAAAGGCAATGCCCCACTTTGCACGCTGCCTTGTTGTACTGTAATGCTAATTTTTCACCAGTGCTGTCTATCTGCAAGTTAATCACAACCGCTCTGGTATTAATCCGGGCTCCGCCTATTAATGGGACGCAGTTCCTGCTGTCTCTTGCATTGCTGTGGGTTTTTTTTAAAGAGGCATTTTTACATAGGCAGCTCCTGGCACCTTTCCACGCTTTGAAGAGGGCGGATATGTTCTGCCCATTCGATATATCACTATGCACATTAAATACGTGCCTCTCCTTAAAAAAAGAGAGAGCGAGAATAATGCTAAGGAAACCTGCAGAGATGGTGCTACTACTCTTCTTCTTCCAATGCTTTTCTGTGCTCTCAGATGGCAGGAACCAGTGCATGCTCTGGTTATGTCCCACTTGGACTACTGTAGGGGTGGGCAACCTAAGGCCCGGGGGCCGGATGCGGCCCAATCGCCTTCTCAATCCAGCCCTTGGATGGTCCGGGAATCGGTGTGTTTTGACATGAGTAGAATGCGTGCTTTTATTTAAAATGCATCTCTGGGTTATTTGTGGGGCATAGGAATTTGTTCATTTTTTTTTCCAAAATATAGTCCGGCCCCCCACATGGTCTGAGGGACGGTGGACCGGCCCATGGCTGAAAGGTTGCTGACCCCTGGACTACTGCTCTACGTGGGGCTACCTTTGAAGGTGACCCAGAAACTTCCAGAATGCGGCAGCTAGACTGGTGACTGGGAGTGGCCGCCGAGACCACATAACACCGGTCCTGAAAGACCTACATTGGCTCCCAGTACATTTCCGGGCACAATTCAAAGTGTTGGTGCTGACCTTTAAAGCCCTAAACGGCCTCGACCCAGTATACCTAAAGGAGCGTTTCCACCCCCCATCGTTCAGCCCAGACACTGAGGTCCAGCGCCGAGGGCCTTCTGGTGGTTCCCTCACTGTGAGAAGCAAAGTTACAGGGAACCAGGCAAAGGGGCTTCTCGGTGGTGGCGCCCGCCATGTGGAATGCCCTCCCACCAGATGTCAAAGAAATAAACAACTGTCTGACTTTTAGAAGACATCTGAAGGCAGCCCTGCTTAGGGAAGATTTTAATATTTGATGAATTTGTATTTTAATATTTTGCTGAAATATTACCCATTCCATTACTCATGGAAAGCACAATAGAACTATGACTGGCTAATGGCATCTGATGCCCTGTAAAAAGTCAGTGGGGAAAGTGTGGTTATTCCAAAGCAAACACCTCGTGTGGAAGCATTCCAGGGTTGTTGCTTTTCCTTCTTCCACTTTCCAGGCATAGGAGACAATTTAATATATCTAGCAAAGGTTCCAGGCAACCTGTCTATTGAGCATTCATTCTGAACTGTTCATTGTGTGTTATGACAACATGCCGAGCAATTGTCACCCCTCATTTTACCTGTGCATTTCCCCATCACTTTCCTTCCAGCATAAAGTTCAATTTGGCGCAGCGGAGTAGGTTTCAAATCTACTTTAACTGCACAACTTGAATTTACTAGTATGTGATTTAATCCTACTGGCAAAAGAGCAACAGCTTGCTAGCAGTGAGCTCTGGACCATAAAAGCTTATGCCACAGTTTACTTCTTTTTTTTTTTTTAAAAAGCAAGGTTTATAAATAAATACATAAATTCCTCCACAGAAGCGTGATTCAGAGGGGATGAGATGTGCTGTTTGGCTGTCTAAATTATTATTTCAGATTTGAAAATAATAAACCTAGAAGACAAATTAACTACACAGTAAACAGTTTTTCCTCAAGGTGCCAGCAGACTCTTTGCTTTTACCACAAAAAGATGATGGCAGCTGTTTCTGGATTGTGATTATTTTTAAATCATTTAACAAGACACAACAAATCCCTCATCCCTGAGTGTTTTTGGAAGAGCAGATGAGTAAAGCCACTGGTCTGTTTGTTTTTTAATCATTTGGGAAATTATTTGTTTAAACATCTGTGGAACTCTGGAGCACAATGACACACCCCTAAGAGCAGTGATGGTTTCCCATAGAGATAATCCTCCCATCCCTATGGGTTTACTCAGAACTAGGAAACTTCCTCTGAGCTCAGTGAGACTTATTCTCAGATTTAAGGGTGCACAGCACTGTAGCCCATGAGGTTTAACTGAGCATGGTTTCCCCCCAGTCACAGAACCTAATTCATTGCAGCGAGGCTCGTGTAGGATCATTCTCCAGCAGATTCTGATCCACCTGCTGGGCCAGCCAGCCCTGAAACACTCACAGGATGTGGCAAGCAGAGCTGAGAACAGCAAAGAGAGTTCGGCGGTAAGCAGGCCTTACCTTTGTGACTCCAATTCTGTACTGCTGCTCTGTCTTTGTGGTCGCCTGGGGCGAGACTGTGAAGAGAAAGAGAGCACAACATTTATGCTGTATGGTAATTTATGGACCTAATAGGTATCTAAAGCCATTTGCACATAACAAAATATGTATTTTATCAAAGTAATTGTTGAACTGAAATACAATTAAGAAGTGAAATAATTATTAAGCTCTAAATTAAAATGATTGGGGGCCCATTACTTACATCATAGGAGCCTACACAACACAAAACACTGTTGCTGTATGTAGGTTTTATTTTACTGGTATTTGTTTTTTATCTTATATTTTGGGAATGTACACCCAGGTTTTTTTTCCTTTAATTTTTTGGGGGGCTCCTAAGCTTATCCTGAGGGACGTGGGTGACGCTGTGGGTTAAACCACAGAGCCTAGGACTTGCCAATCAGAAGGTCAGCGGTTCGAATCCCCGCGATGGGGTGAGCTCCCGTTCCTCGGTCCCTGCTCCTGCCAACCTAGCAGTTTGAAAGCACTTCAAAGTGCAAGTAGATAAATAGGTACCGCTCCGGCGGGAAGGTAAACGGCGTTTCCGTTGCGCTGCTCTGGTTCGCCAAGCGGCAAATAATTTGTTATTTATACCCCACCCATCTGGCTGGGTTTCCCCAGCCACTCTGGGTGGCTGCCAACAGAATATTAATAATAATAAAAAGTGATAAAACATCAAACATTAAAAACTTCCCTAAACATTAGGCATCATCCTTGGCAATCCTTAACACTGGATGTGTCTTTACTGCCAACAAACCCGCTTTCAGTCATTCCCTCTCACCAGGGAATTGTTGATCTTCAAGGAGAGCTAAGGATCTCCAACAGAGAATATCTGAGCACTCTCAACAAACTACAATTCCCAGTTTTCTTTAGCAGAAGACATGGCAATTAAATAGTACACAATGCCCATATGTGTTGTGCAGTTAATTCAGCTATCAATTCAATTTTCTATCCCGTCTTTCGGCTTTGCATATTGTAACTTATTTTTGGCTACAAATGTGAACTCAGCTCTCATGCTGCTCTCTACATTTGACACAAAGAAGCACAGTCACAAGTAGACTTTTGAATGCAAGGGGATATTAGGCAGTAAGACCCACTGAACCTATAAGGGCTTCCTTCTGAATAACTTATTTAGGGGCTAGCCGTACAAGGGAGCCTTAAGGTAGCATTTTTAAAAAATCCTCTGCCCCTGTTTCTTTACTTATTTACTCCCAATTTATTTATTCCTTAACTTTTGCATCCAGATGCCTTTTGCATATAAATGCATGCAAGCAACCAACACATTCACATACAAGCCAGACAGAGGCAAAACTTGCAGAACATTTCTATAAACAATGGGAGCTGCACTAATTTGCTCATTTCCTTATGTTAGAGCATGGATCGGCAAACTAAGGCCCGTGGACCAGATCAGGCCCAATTGCCTTCTGGATCCGGCCTGCAGACGGTCCAGGAATCGCCACGTGGATCGCCAGTGTGTACGTTCTTTCCCTCTCCCTCACACGGCGGCGGCAGCGCCTCCTCCCTCCCTCCTCCTGGCTTCTCCTGGCCCTGCCTAGAGGAGGGAGGGGGATGGGCTTTGTTGGTGCCAGCAGCAGCAGCAGCAGCGCTCGAGCGGCCGCCATTTAAAGCAGACCCTCTCCAGTGCCTTTTCGTGCACCGCTCATTGTGCCACCGTTGCCAGCCCCTGACGCTGGCAAGACACAGGTAAGCAGGCTTGTGGTGCTTTTGCATCATTTTGTTTTTTCAAATATAGTCTGGCCCCCCACAAGGTCTGAGGGACAGTGGACCGGCCCCCTGCTGAAAAAGTTTGCTGACCCCTGTGAAATAAAAAATTAAGGTCTTATATATATAATAAATGCTCATAAATGTACCAAGCAAACACGTACATAAATATATAAACCACGTGTCTGAAGCAGCACAGGAAAACAGTCCTGGAACCATTTTGACTCCTAAACTGACCAAATGTTTTCTCTGCAAAGTCAAAGGAAAATGGAAAAGATTCCCCATTTTCTTTTCATTAACAAATCCCGTTTTAAGGGTATGTCTGTGTATGAATAGGGTGAGCCTGTGACCTGGCTCAGGAACTAAGTACGGTATTTATCATTACAAAAGACTGGCCAGGCTCCCCAGGGTATCCAGTCAAGCAAGCATTAACAGGTAACTTGCCAGACAGGAGGTAAACAACGCACTCAGATATCTCTTGAGCTACACCCCTTTCTGTGATGTAGGTATGATGTGTCTGGGGGCGGTCTTGGACTCCAAGGCTGGCAATTTAATATGTCTTCTGGGTCCTCCTTTTCCTGTGTGTGAGGGGAGCCCCCTGTTGCAACAGTTCAATAAAGATCAGGCTTACGAGCTGCTTTGCTTCTCAATATTCTCTGGTTGGCCTCTGTTCTTGTCTCTGACCGATGAAGAACCTACAAAGGACTCTATAAGGGCTCTTGTGTCCCCCATAAGGGAATAAGGGCAGATTTTGATTTATTACACCTGTGTTAGAGGTAAGCAACCTGGGCCCGCCAGATATTGCTCGACTGTTGGGCCATAGTGATTGGGTATGGTGGGAGTTGGAATTCAATAACCTCTGCGGGTCACAGATTCTGCCTGTTGTGTTGTTGATGCAACTGGCTTGCGACCATCAGACAAGTTCTTGCACTGATCTCCTGCAGAGGAACATCCGTGACTCCACATTTGCACAGAGTGCATGCAGCAAGTGTTAAGGCTGCCCATTTGCACCAATGCAGATACAGTGGTACCTCGGGTTAAGAACTTAATTCGTTCCGGAGGTCCGTTCTCAACCTGAAACTGTTCTTAACCTGAGGCACCACTTTAGCTAATGGGGCCTCCCGCTGCCACCACACGATTTCTGTTCATGCTGAAGCAAAGTTCTTAACCTGAAGTACTATTTCTGGGTTAGCGGTGTCTGTAACCTGAAGCGTCTGTAACCCAAGGTACCATTGTACACTCTTGGGGGAATCCTCTTCCGGGTGCCCCCTGACCCGGTTCCTCTTCTTTTCCTCGCATGTTGTTTTAGGCAAGGGATAGGGAAACTATGACCTTTCAAGATTCCCAGTTCCCATCAGCTCCAGTCAACTGCCAGGGATGATGGAAGCTACAGTCCAACACTATCTCAGGGTGACGGCGGCGGTGCAGGCTCCCCACCCATTTTCAATTACTCAATTCCCCCCTTACCTTCCCAAAGTGCTGGGTGATGGGCAACCGGCTTTGCAAGCTTTCAGACTGCCTATTCCTGGTGGGTATGATGGGGTCGGAGATATGGTCACAGTTCGAGGAATGCCCTCGCTGTCGATGAGGGCCTGTACTGGAATCCTAGAGAGGACAAGATTATTCTGAGCATAAGCTTTGCTTCCCATCCTGACCAGTGCCGGATTTATGTATAAGCTAAACAAGCTATAGCTTAAGGCTCCACTCTCTTGGCCCCCCCAAAAAAACTAAAGGAAAAAGAAAGCGGATGTACATTTCCAAAATTTAAGATAAAAAATAAAACCTATGTACAGCAACAGTGTTTTGTTTTGTGTAGGCTCCTATGATGTAAGTAATGGGCCCCACCTGCTAGCCTGTTCCCTAAAATATCACTGATTTGCTCATTTCTATATATAGGGTGCCTACATTCTGCATGGACTGGTTGTAATAATTACTTTGATAAAATACATATTTTGTTATGTGCAAATAGCTTTAGATACCTATTAGGTCCATAAATTACCATATAGCATATATTCAACACAAAAAATAGCGACAATTTGTTGTTGACAAAGGACAGCTGGACATATAAAGGGCCCCATTACCTTCAGTAGCTTAGGGCCTCATCCAACCCAAATCCAGCCCTGATCCAGACCCTACACCAGCAGCTAGCTTGTCAAAGAAGAAGCTAACTGGAGAGGCTGCAATAGTTAGGGTTGCCATATGTCCAGAATTTCCTGGACGTATCTGGAATACTGCAGTCAGAAGCAGCGTCCGGCAGAAATTGCTAAAAATGTGCAGGAAAATCCGGATGCATGGCAACCCATGTCAGCAGTGTCATTTTGGGCAATTTCCCTTAAAAATAGCTCAAAAACTTCATTTGAACAGCCTTGTGTATAAAGAAGAGTTTGGATTTGATATCCTGCTTTATCACTACCCAAAGGAGTCTCAAAGCGACTCACATTCTCCTTTCCCTTCCTCCCCCACAACAAACACTCTGTGAGGTGAGTGGGGCTGAGAGACTTCAGAGAAGTGTGACTGGCCCAAGGTCACCTAGCAGCTGCATGTGGAGGAGCGGAGACGCGAACCCGGTTCACCAGATTACGAGTCTACCGCTCTTAACCACTACACCACACTGGCTCCCCTTCTGGCAGGGGGTATTTACAGAAATAAGCTATATTACAGGTCAATATGTGGAATGTACCCTGAGTTTAAGATAGTTAACTGTTTTTAAAGAAGGGCAATTGGACCTTGGTTACTTTTCTTTGAGTAGCAGCATGTCTATTAGCAGCACAGAATTGGAAAGGAATTATAAAATTATGCATGGCATAGAGAAAGCAGATAGAGAAAAGTATCTCCCCTGCCCCTGGCAACACAGTGTTGGAAGATTCAGGACACATAAAAGAAAATGATGATGATGATGATGATGATGATGATGATGATGATGATGATAATAATATAATAATAATAATTATTATTATTATTTATACCCCACCCATCTGGCTGGGCTTTCCCAGCCACTCTGGGCAGCTCCCAACCAAAAATTAAAAGCACAATACAGCATTAAACATTAAAAACCTCCCTAAACAGGGCTGCCTTCAGATGTCTTTTAAAAGTAAGATAGTTGGTTATTGCCTTGACATCTGATGGGAGGGCGTTCCACAGGGCAGGTGCCACTACCGAGAAGGCCCCCTGCCTGGTTCCCTGTAACCTCACTTCTCGCAGTGAAGGAACTCCAGAAGGCCCTCGGCGCTGGACCTCAGTGTCCAGGCTGGACGATGGGGGTGGAGACGCTCCTTCATGTATACAGGATCACAGCCGTTTAGTACTTATTCATGCAGCGCATAGTCAAGGGTGTACAAAAGGCGGGGCAGGCCGCCCTGGGCATCACTTGGGGTGTGTGTGACAAGATGACCCACTGCCCCCCAGCTGTAGAGTGGCTGAGTGTGCGCACGCAGTTAGTATGGCTGCCTCTCTTGCACACCATCCGTACGGGCGTCCTCTCACACGGCGACCATATGGACTGCTGCATGTGCACCATTGGGCAGTTCGCCCTGCCCCTCGGCATCCCATCCCGGGTGCTGGAGAGGGTTCCTCCGCCACTGCGCTTAGTTAATCTATGGAACTCCCTCCCACAGGAGTAAGTGATGGTCACCCACCCCAATGACTTTAAAAAGAGGATTAGACAAATTCCTGGAGGTGAGGACTATGGATGGCTACCAGCCATGATGACTACCGTATGTTATGCCTCTACAGTTGGAGGCATTAATGCTGCTGAACATCAGTTGCTGGAAACCACAAGAAGGGAGAGTGTTGCTCTTGTTGCGCTTGCGGGTTTCCAAGAAACACCGGGCTGGCCAAGGTGAAAACACGATGCTAGACTAGGTAGAGCATCGGCCTGATCCAATAGGCTCTTCTTCTGTTCGTAAAACATTCAATCATATTTAAAAACAATTTTCACCCAGGTGTTGGAAAAGGTTATTTATGTCTGCCACTACCGCGGCTCTTGTTTTGTTCGCCCAAAAATGGGAAACAAGAGAAGTCCCAACTAAATAAGATTGGCAACTTAAATTGATGGAATATGCGCAGCCTGCGGACCTTACATCTAGAACAAGAGAACAAGAAGAACATAGGTTTAAAGAAGATTTGAAAATGTTTATTGTATATATGGGGGGGAACTGTGTTTATTTGAAAACGTGGGCAGCATTAAGATAAATTCCACAGTGTAAATAAGTTTTGATGGATGTAATAATGGAATACTGAATGGTTCAGTTTATATAAAATACGAAGGGATTTATGTTGTGCAAAATGAACCATGGAAAGAGAGGAAGGGAAGTCAATGACCCTGAATTTTTGAATTTTATTGATATTGATGCTGCTTTTTATGTTGTATTCTATGCTGTTTTATGCTGTTTTCAAGTTGCATTTTAATCAATGTTTTAAATTTGCTGTTAGCCGCCCTGAGCCTGGTTTTTAAACCAGGAAGGGTGGGGTATAAATATATATATTTAAAAATTATTATAATATTAATATTATTGATATTTTAAGGTTGTTTAAGTGAATATTCTAACATGTAAAACAGAAATTTAATAAAAAAAATAAACTCTAAAAGCAATTTTCAATTGGGTTTTAAACAACACTCATCCCGCAGTACATCACCTTTAATCATTTTAAGGAAGAAGTCTGGAGTGGCTTACCTTTTCCATGAGACGGCTCCGCATATTCTTCAGCCGCATTTTGGCATGGCCTTTGGCCTAGACAGAACACGGAGGGGATGTGAGGAGATATGCAGCACTCCAAACAGAGAGTTTGGGCCAAAGCTAGTTTTACTCAGAGGAGACCCACTGACTCCTGCCCATGAGAAGGGCTGAGGCAGCCACCATATTGTGCCAGAATCCCATGGGGCAGGGCCCCCATAGGCCCCCTGCCTACCCCTGCCGCTGCAGAAGTGAGGAGAAATGATGGCAGTTGATTCCAGTGAGATTCGGATGACCCAGTGAGATGCAGGACTCCAGCACAGGGGCAGTGTTAGGGGGTGGCTGCACCTTCCTGTTTCGCCAACTGTCCCTGCCCATTGACAATAATATACTACACAACTAACGCAAGGTTCTACTCTGAGTAGAACTTAGTTCAATACTTCCCAGAATTTCAAGGACAAAGAAAAAATAGATCAGTCGTTTGAAATGTGTAGCTTCTCAAGGCTGCACACACAAGGGGTGAGCTTTAGGTTTAGGGTGTAAAAAAAGAGCCATTTTGTGCAGTCTTCAGCATTGCATCCAAATAGTTGGAATTTGCAAAACCCTCATTGCAACTACAGTCGTACCTTGGTTTTTGAACAGCTTAGTTCTCGAACGTTTTGGCTCCCGAACGCCGCAAACCCAGAAGTGACTGTTCCGGTTTGCGAACTATTTTGGAAAGCCGAACATCCGACGGGGGCTTCCAATTGGCTGCAGGAGCTCCCTGCAGCCAATCAGAAGCTGCACTTTGGTTTCCGAACATTTTGGAAGTTGAAAGGACTTCCAGGACGGATTCCGTTCAACTTCCAATGTATGGCTGTACTTAAAAGCACATTCAAAGCACATTCTTTCCCTGAAAGAATTCTGGGCAATGTAGTTTGTTAAGGATTGCTGGGAACTGAGGGGATGCTCATCAAATTTGCAGGTGACACCAAACTGGGTAGCTAATGCTGCAGAAGACACAATCAGGATTAAAATAACCTTAACAGACTGGAGAACTGGGACCAAACAAACAGAATGAAATTCAATAGGGTTCATAAGGTTCTACACTGAGGAAGAACCAGATGCACAAATATAAGATAGAGAACCCGGATTATTAGCAGTGCATGTGACAAATCTGGGGTCTTAGTAGACCACAAGCTTTAACATGAGTCAACAGTGTGATGCAGTAGCAAAGGAAAGCTCATGCTGTTCTAGGCTGCATCAACAGAAGTCTAGCGTCCAGATCAAGGGAAGTACTGTAATAGTATCACTCTACTCTGCCTTGGTCAGACATCACCTGGAGTCTTGTGTCCCATTCAAGGTGCCACAATTTAAGAAGGATATTGACAACCTGGAACATGTGCAGAGGAGGGCAACCAAGATGATCAAGGGCCTGGAAACTAAGCCTTATGAGGAACAGTTGAGGGAGTTGGGGATGTTTACCCTGGAAAAGAGGGGATATGATAGCCATCTTCAAATATCTAATGGGCTGTCACATGTGTTGCAGGAATTTATGTATAGGTTGGGGGGGGTTGCCCCTCCAGCAGATATCACACACATGCAGCCCACTACCAAAATCAGCGCAATCACTTTTGTGACTTTTGTGATTTGTCCCCACAAAACATTGCACCACAGTTTCTTCCTATCTATTCAAAGGGCCTCTGCTGCACAATACCAAATGTAACAATTCGCTGATAAATGTATCTATGTACTGGCTCACTGGGAAAACTTCAGAAATTCATATAGACATGTGAGCTCAGCTACTCAGCAGCCCCTCTGCCTGAGTGGTAATCCCTGGCATCCTGATACCTGAGTGCCAGACAGGTAGCCATTCCAGAAATAAGAAACCCAGATGAAGACAAAAGGGTGTGATTAACCTGACTTTCTTTATTACCTGCTTTCCTCCCATCTGCCAAGGAGGAAGGGAGAAAAGTCCTCAAATTCACACCTTTTCTGGCTATTTCCCTTGGCTAGCTAGTCCCAAAGGAGGAGTGGAGGAGACTCTTGAGAGTCCCATGGACTGCAAGAAGCTCAAACCTATCCGTTCTGAAGGAAATCAGCCCTGAGTGCTCACTGGAAGGACAGATCGTGAAGCTGAGGCTCCAATACTTTGGCCATCTCATGAGAAGAGAAGATTCCCTGGAAAAGACCCTGGTGTTGGGAAAGATGGAGGGCACAAGGAGAAGGGGACGACAGAGGGTGAGATGATTGGACAGTGTTCTCGAAGCTACCAGCATGAGTTTGACCAAACTGCGGGAGGCAGTGGAAGACAGGAGTGCCTGGTGTGCTCTGGTCCATGGGGTCACGAAGAGTCAGACACGACTAAATAACTAAACAACAACAAGCTAGTCCCAAAGTACTATTCCAATCCAATTGAGATTCCTGCATTGCAGAGGGTTGAACTAGATGACCCTTGGAGTCCCTTCCAACTCTACAATTCTATGATTCTATTATCTCCAAGATGGGCAAAAAGGGCCATCACCCACCTGCACCCTGGTAGATTTGACATACTTCAAAACCAGGGGTATTTCAAAATGGTGTCAGCCACCCCTTTAAGAAGTTGCTAAGTGTGTGCCCCATCTGCCACACACTGTAAGAACCTTCACTTCTATTAAGTCCATGAGAGGAGAGCCTCCTGCCCTTCTTAGCTGCTGAGTTTTCTTCTCTCAGCTAAAGGGTCCTAATCATGGAACTCTACGATGGTTCCCCATTTATTATTTCATTGCAAAATTGTGTTAGGGGAGACCCTGATCCAACGCCTCCTCTTCTCAAAAGCCTTTGAGGTGATATAGTTGCATCAGATGGGGTTGGTTCAGTCTTTAGCACTGAGGCAAGAAAACAAAGTATGCTCAGTATATCAGGGAATCCATGGTACAAAACCCACACTCCTGCAATTTTTCACTAGGAAGTTTCCATTGATTTCATAGTTACAACAAAGGAGCAATTGTATTGGCGTTCTCATGATATCATAATACTTTTTGAACAACCGTGGCATGCAATTTCACAGCCCTGTCTCTCTCTTTCTCAATTTGTTAAACTTTTTTAAAAAAATCACCCTACCAAAATACTAACTATATAACTAAGCACATAGCGAAACACATAGTAAAGCCTTTAACTACTCTTCATGCATAACCTTGCAATTTGTAGTCTATTACATTTTCATTCTCTTCTAGTAGTTCCTAGCCCTCAACCGCACCAATGATGTATTCAAAATCTTGGGTCTCAGCAAATTCCGTTAATATTTTCCTTATTCCATTGTCAGAGAGATACAGGGGTGGAAATGTTGAATAGAGTGGCCTCTTATCATGGAGTTACGATCCTCTCTTGGTTCAGACATTTGCTTGTCAGTCTGTTTTTCCTTCTCACCTTTATCTAACTGCATGCTTATCTTCCAGTACCTGTATTAATCCACATCTTCTCCAGTGTAACTATTAATTTCCCATGTGGTGGTGTATCAAATGGGGTACTGAAATCCAAATAGACTGGATCATCAGCATTTCCACTGTCTAGAAACCCATTATCTTACAAAAAAGGAATCAGATTAAACAGCAAGGATCCATAGCAGACCCCAACCCCCCTTCTTTGCAGCTCCGGCAGAGTTTGTTTTATCAGTGTTGCCCAAGGTGATCTTAGTCTGCACACTGATACTGTTTCTTCCACATTGTCACTCTTTGTTTCTTCACTATCAATCATATTGATATATAATGCTCTTCTGCATTCCCTCCACACACACCCCTGAAAGATAACAGATTCTCTTTGGTGCTGTCATTCCAATAAAACCCCTTGTTTACAGGTTATATACATACAATATTTAAATTTCACACCCTATTCTAGCAATTTAACTCTCTCTCCCATTAAAAAAAGCCAACTGGACTGTTCACATATGTGCATGCTGATTCCCTACATTTCATATTCTGCATTTTGCTGCTACTTGGAAATAAGTCCAATTATTTCAATAGAATATATTTCCAAGTTAAGTATGATTAGGCCAAGATGATTGTGGGCTATATCTATCATTATTATTTATTGAATTTATATACCACCCTATACCTGGAGGTCTCATTATGTACCATCTTTGAACCCCAAAACACACACATCCAGTTTCTTATCGATGCTTGGAGGTTTTTAAGCTCTCATCTTCTGCTATAGTGTCCTGTCCCCCATGCCAAACAAACATTTATCTGAAAGGCTGTGGAACTTTTCAGAACAGCATCTTTGAGGCCTGATGGGCTGTTGTGCGTCGAGGTCCCCAAGACACCCCCCCAAAGAAAAACACAATTGACACTTAATTTTTGTTTAAGGTTTTTGGCATAATTTTGGCCACAACTTTATTCAAATTACAGCAATGTGAGTGGTTGCTTAGGCATTGGTAGCACTAACTGACCCCGCACGGGGACAGCTCTGACCTTCGCACCCCCCGCGAAGTCAGCAAGGGTAAGTCACCTGGGGAGAGAGACGGGACTGGGAACCATGCCTCACCTCTCCCCAGAATGCTCCCAGGGGCTTGCGTGGCCCTAGCCCCTTGCCAGGGGGTTTCGGACAAAAGCATGGGGAGCCCCTGGGTTCCTTTAACGGAAAACCCTTGAAGCAGCAGCAGCAGCATTTTGGAGGGGCAGGCACAGCCGAATCCATACCCCTCCACCACCAGCAGCATTTTGGAGGGGCAGGCACAGCCGAATCCATACCCCACCACCAGCAGCATTTTGGAGGGGCAGGCACAGCCGAATCCATACCCGAATCCAATTAGGGAAGGGAGGGCGGGTGATCCGAAGTAAGCAGCGAAAAGAGGAAGTTCCTCGCTGCGAGCATTGTATTTAACAAATAGGGCTGTCAATCAACAAATGGCAACATCTAGATTTCCCCAGTAACAGCCCGCCCCTGCTTAAAGGATGGCCAAACCATTTGCCTAGTAACAGTGAGGTGTCTTGTCAGCCCCGCCCGCAACCTGTGCTCTCCATGAGGGAGAACACACTTTACTGAATGACAAATTTGGCCCATCCACAGTGTGTACTAGGGGCTTGTGGTGACCACAAGATTCACCTTGAATCTGTAGCATTTGAAAACAGACCAATCTGTTTCAGATCTGCTCTGTGTCATTGTGATTCATGTAGTTATTTGGATCTGGATCTCATCTGTTAAATCCAAAACTGTGTCTTGCCCCATATGTTTTTAGAGAAACCTAAAAACAGTTTCTTTGTTGTTGGTTTTTTAGACTGTGGGAA